GGAGGGGAGAAAAGTGCAACAATGAATGAATGGAAGTCCAAAATCTCTGTAAATTTTTACCGAAATTAATAATAAATTTAAATTTAAAAAAAGAAAAATCCAACTTTTCTGTAAATTTTTGTTAAAATCACAATTTTTTTTTTAAAAAAAAGAAGCAAGTAGAACTTAAGTGCATCGTTGGTAAAGATGGAAATTGGCACAACCACTTTGAAGTAGTCTTTGGCTATACCTACTGAAACAAAACTTACCCTGTGACCTAGTAGTTCTATCCTTGTAAAGATTTACCCAAAGAAAAAAGAACACGTTTTTGTGACCATCAGTAAGGCATGCATAAGGAAGTCCGGTGTCCCCTTTATTGAGAAGGACAAGAACCTGGCCTAAACAGGGCATGAAGGCACCTTCTAGAGTGCTAGAAATGTTCTAGACCCTGAATTAAGTGGTAGTTATATGAGACTGTGCATCCATTACCTATTTCATTAAACCACATGCTTGGCATTTGTGCACTGCTGTCTAGAAGCTGTACATAGAGAAAAAGAACAGGTGTGAAACCAGCTTGGCCCTCTCATCTTGAACTGTCTCCTGAGCTGCCACAGTGTGAAACTTGGCAGAGAGTGAGGGTTCTTTGCTTTCCAGGGGAGTGTCTATATCTCATTCACTCAGGGTTTTCACTGCAATTAACAGCCGTGGTGTTCTTCAAGAATTGTAGAAAGCTCTTTGAAAAATAAAAAATGTTCTCCTTTGGAAATTTTCACTGCTAAGGGATGAACTTTCATGAGCACAGTGTACCAGCAAATACTGTATCCCAGTAGATCATCAGTGACATTAGACAGCCAACACCACCCCAAAATTACCTCGAGGATGCAGACAAATCTGGCCACCTCTTACTCAGTGCCCTGTTCTTGTGGAGATGAAACAGTACTTTTCAAAGATGAAAACCAGGAGCCTTTCCTGATAAAAGGGATCTTTTACCTTCATTTCCTGCAGGGAGCTGCCAACGCTGTCAGACTTGCTCCTGCCTTTTCTGACTGAACTGCCGTTTCTAAAACCCAAGACCAAAGTTTTCATCTGTTCAGCTGTCTAGTGAGGACAGAATTCCAGGGGATGAAAATGTCCTATCTCCTGAGATGTAGGGGACTCTAGAGATTGATATCTGGTTCATTCAGAACTCTTCCTGACACTTGAGACTATACAATTATTTATGCATATAATCTATCTCTGAGAAGTATAATATATAGGGAAAAGGGTAGAAAATATTCCCAGATGTTTTCAAACACAGTAATTGATTTTTCATACCAAGAAATAATACTGAGCCATGACTTTGATTTTGGACAAGGCTTTCAGGGTTTGCTTCATGGAAGCAAATTCACCAGGCCTTACATGAGAAAAAGGCTTGCAAATTCATCAACTCTGAATCTCTGCAACTCTGAACTATGAAATCTTTCTGGTAATCTATAGTAAAAGTGTAGAAAATAATACTAGCTCACCACCCAACTCAGTCGAATCTTATATATTTCCACATTTGTGTCTATACTCAGTAAATGACTAGTTACTGCTGAAGCCCCCCTGGGGTCCTTCCATGCCGTATTCCTTCCTCTCTGCCTAGAGGTAACTGCTGTTCTGATTGTCATTTTGATCACTCCCATCTGTGTTTTGATATGTTACACGTATAGCCATAAATGGTACATAGCTTTGCTTTGGGTATTTTAAAAGTTTATGTAAATAGTGCAGCACATACCATTTCCTCATTTGCTTCTTTTGTTAACATGTTTTTTCAGATTGAACCATGCTGATGGATGTTATTTTGAGTTAATTCGTTTTAACTTACTGTTGTATTGTATTGCCTAAATACTCTATCACCTATGTATCCATTCTGCCGTTGATAGACATTTAGATTATTTCCAGTCTTTGGTTTTTACAAACAGTGATGCAAGGAACATTAGTTTACATAATCAAGAATCTCTCTAAAAGATATTAACTGTTACGGGTTATTGCACTGTCAAGTGAGAAGAGTCTACTGTATTTCCCCCAAAGTGATTGAACTAATTTATTAAACTCTCCTGGGATTATGAATTTCATTGCACCCTATCCATGTCAACACTTGGTATTATAAATTTTTTTACTTTTTTCTATCTGATGGCTATAAAATGGTATTAATTATAAGTTTTACACCAGCATTCTAGGCATTAGTAAGATGAGATCGACTGACTTTGGCCATTTTGAGTCAGACAGTCACCTGGTATACTATACTGGAAATGAAAAACAGTAAGAATAGTGTTGCATTCATAGTTAAAAAACACAATCTCAAATTCTATCCTGAAGTACAATGTTGTAAGTTACGGGATATTATCCATATGTTTATATAGAAGACCTGTTAATAGGACTGAGTTAATACTCCAATATACCCGCCAACAGTAAAAGCCAAAGAGGAGGAAATCAAAGATATTTATCAAATTTTGCAGTCTGAAATTGATTAAACATGCAATCAAGATGTTTTAGTGAAACTTGGTGACTGGAATGTAAAAGTTGGAAACCGTGAAGAAGGAATAGTAGTTGGAAAATATGAATTTGTGATAGAAACAAGGCTGTAAATAGAATGATCACATTTTATACATTCAGTGACTTACTCGTCACAAACAACTTTTTTAAAAAAACTCAAACAGTGACCAAATGCACACTGAGTTTATCACATGTCCTCTCATAATCACATCCTGTCATCTCTGGGCACATTTGGATGGAATTGGGGCAGCGTTCCAATGGGAAGCTCTTGGAGTGTGCTAAGTCCACCCATGCCGTCCCTGGATGCTTGCTTTCCTTTGTGAGCCCACAACCTTAGGAAAAATAGATACCAGGACAGAATTTTTCATCTCTGGAAACGTCCAAATGTCCAGAATTCACCGACACTTTGCTGGCTTGCAGCTGAAAGATGTGCTGAGTCATGGGGACTCGTGTTATAGCCTGAAAATGTCCTTTCCTTAGTCTAAACTTTTTCAACATAATTTGTAATATTTTTAGCTAAGTTATTCCAAGTAAAACCTCAATGCCTTCCCTATGTTTTATACAACCATCAGAATAACACGAGAGCCTCCTGGGTAAGGAGTTGTGCTGCCATCCCTATGGCAGGTGGTTTGGATCTACCATCTGCTCCTTGGAAGAAATATGAACAATCTCCTCCCGTACAATTTACAGCCTCTAAGACCTCACTGGAGGGCCAGCCATGAATCCATTCCAACTCAACAGCAATAAGTTTAGTTTTTTCACCACTTAGATTAATACTGTTTATCTTCTAAATGAGTTCATCTTCTCTTCAGTGACTAATTTTCCTGTCCAAAGCTGAGTACAGGGCAAATCTGAGGATGCAGCATTGTAAGGTCTACACCATCCCTTCCATGACTTTTGGCGTCATTATGAAAGACTTTCTGAGAGCAGCAGATATAGCAGGGCTTGTCTTGAACATAGATTGGCCATTATCACCAGAGATGGCAGGGTCACAGCAGTGGGGGCCATCACCCACAGCTACATCTGTGGCCAGTCTCCTTCTGCTAAACCATCTCAACAGGCTAAATAAAGTGTGTACTTCTAGGCTTCAGTCATTTTTTGACTCAGGCTTCCATGAGCTGCAACAGATTTAAAGTACATCAAGAGGCAGCAGCAAACTGTGGGAGCTGTGAATCAGCTCTGGCTGGCGGCGTTTACCTGAACAGCAGGAGTTTGAGCTACAGCTTGTTCCTGTCCACTCATCCTCTTACCCCTTTCGTCGTGGGGGATGCTGTTAGCAAGTTATTCAACCTTTGGGTTTCATGATCGGGATTTTCTCATCTATAAGATGAGCACAGCACGTCACAGGGTCTTGTGAAGACTAAAATGGTCAGACAAGTATCCATCCTTCTTGACATTTACTAGGTATTGTTGTTGTTGTTGTTGTTGCTGTGTACGATCAAGTCAAAACTGACTCGTAGCTGACCCTCCAGCAGATTGTCAGAGGCTGTAAATCACGCTGGAGGAGATTGCCCATCTTTCTACGAACTCAAACTACCTGACTTTGGTTTGGCAGTCAGCTCCCTACCACCAGGCCTCCAGAGCTTCCCTGAGCTCCCTGACTAACTGAGATGGGGCAGACCACGTATCTGTCAGTCTTGGCATTTGCTAGGCATTAGGAAAGTTGATATCCTTCCAGATAAATTATATCCATGAAGGGCAGGGGAAGGAGGAGAAAAAAAGCTGATTGTTGCCAAGATATTTTTCTGGTTAAATTTCCTACATTCTTTGTCTAGAAAAATTTAAAATATAATAATAATTTTTTTTTACTACTAAATAAGCAAAATTCTTATATTTTTAGTGTAGATGAACGTATAGTCTACGCTGCTGGCAGGGATATAAATAAGTTCAGTTATTTGGAAGGGAGTTGTGAGATAATTCTCAAGAACCTTAAAAATGTCTTCATTCTGTGATCTACCCCCAGAGATTGTATCCTAAGGAAATTTCATTGTTATATTTAGAGTTCTTGTATATAAAATTACGTGTCCATCCCAACATTCATGGTTTATAATAGTAAATATCTTGAAACAAAATAAATAAGGAAGTGGGTAAATATTTTTAAGATAATACTTACCCTCCATTTATTACTTTACAACTTTTAAAAACCATGCTTTTTTATAAAGGAATGCCTAGATGTCTCCGTAGGCTACAAAAGATTCTCTATATTAGTTAGAAAAACCAAGTTACGGTACTGTGTATGTGCACAGGTATGTTCCAGGTTTGTTTTTTATTATATATACATCCATACAGATAGGAAAGGATTATACTAACTGGGAATTGGTGGTGTTTTCCTGGTGATAGGAATTATAAGAACTGTTTCCCCCTCTTATGTTTCTGTTTATTTCTCCATTTTCTGCAAAGAGGGCCTGTTACATTGACAGTCAGGAAGGACCGCTGTGGTCCCACGTGCCCTCCAGGCATGGTGTCCGTGGAAGCGGCTGCTGACATTGTGCATCTCTCCACAGCTGCTGCTGGACACGCACTCCCTGAAGATGGTGCTGCTCGATCTGCCCTCCATCGGCTCCCAGGTGGTGCGGAAGGCCCCTGCCAGCTACACCAAGATTGTTGTGAAAGGCATGACCCGGGCCGAGATGATCCTCAAGGTGACTGCAGCTCTGCCCTCCTCAGTCCTTCTGTTAAAGGGGCCGGCTATTTGGTTGGTTAGTCCAAGGAGTACTGGCTTGGAGAGCATCAGTTAGGGCTGTGCCTGATGGTGACCAGCATCTGTCACTGGCCAGGATTTGGGCTCCATCAGTTATTCTTCAAAGTCAGGGGGCTTAGGGTCAGTCATTCTTTCTGACAAATGGATCCTTTGTGGGAATGGGATCCTTTAGCAGATTTAGCCATGATTGGGTTATATGTCAGTGCAGCTGTGAATGTGTTTGTGAGTCAGGGACCCCATTGCTTGTTACAGGAATTCCAGCCCCCACTATCAGTTACTAGGGGAGCTCTGGTGGTTTAGTGGTAAGACGCTGTGCTGCCCACCCAAAGGTAACTGGTGTGAATCCACCAGCCGCTCTGAGGGCGAAAGATGGGAAGTCTCTTCCCATGCAAGTTACAGCCTCTGAAAACTTATTGGAGAGTCTGTTCCAACTCAGCGTCACATAACAACAATAATCGGTTACTATCTGCCACTTACAGTCCCTTTGCTTTCTATACTTTCCCCGGTAAAAGAACTCTGGACAGATGTCCAGTCACTGCATCTAATCAGCAGATGGTGGGTTTTTTTTTACCCTCCTCAAAATATGATGATGTGGAGAATGTCTGATGTCTTGAGCATCTGATTCTGATTTCTACCTGGACTTGTTAAAAAAGGAAGAGGGGCCCTTTGAGAAGAGAGGGAAGGCTAGCGAGCCAATGGCACTGTGGTGAGGTGGCTTTAAAAGCCAAGCCTGCAGCCTCTTCAGGTCTGTCTCACAAACAGAGTGACTGAAATGACAGCAGGGCTGAAGCAGCAGCAGAAGCCCAGGTGTCCGTGGGACCTGGCGAGGGCAGCTGCAGAGACCTTGTGCTCGTGGCCTCAGGAAATGAGAAGCAGCCTCGTTGTTTCCTTACCCAGCTGGTTTGCTCGCTGGGAAGGAGTCAAGCATATGGTCTAGGAATATCTGCAGGGATTTTTCTGAGTTCAGAGTTCCCTGCGAGTCATTGGTACATTCTCAAAGAGCCCAAACAAAATCAGTCTTTCTGGTAGAAGAAAAGCAGAAACTGCTTTCTCATACCAAGTGGACGAGAGCATGGGGACTGCAGTGCCATTACTTCTGTTTGTGTGTTGATCAGTACTTTCAGTGACGTTCCAGATTCTAAGCCTTCAAGCATGTGACAGCTTTGGAATATTTGTTTTTGAGAGAATTACTTAAGTTGGTTCCTTTTGATGCCCATTTCTCAGGAATGTTATGTCAAGACTAAAGGAGCAGGTACCATGTTCCCTGAAATGTTGGTAAACAGGAGGTCCCTCTGGCACAGTTTCTCAAATGACCCTGATATGTGACATTCCCCTGGGACCCCACACACGCCTACTGAATAGGAAATTCCAGAGGAGGGACGTGGAAGTTTGTACCTTAAAAACCATTCCAAGTGGTATTTATGATTCAAGCAGTTCAGGAATTTCTGTTGTAATTGAAAGGCGCCCTGCTGGCTGGCATAGGGCGTCACGTGTTGTATTGCCAAGCACAACCCAAAGATTGGCAGTTTGAATCCACCAGCAACTCTTCAGGAGATTGATTGCTTCAGACATCTGGTGGAGGGGCACCATATGTGGGAGGTGACTCAAAGCCAGGGGGTTTGGCTTCTGGTGGCCTCTGACTAAAAGGAACCCTCTCGGTACGGTGGTTAAGCACATGGATACTGACTGCAAGGGTGATGGTTTGAATCTGCCAGCCACTGTGAGGGAACACTCTGTGGCAGCCTGCTTCCATAAGGATTTACAGCCCTGGAAGCCTACAGTGTGGGTCCGAACTCACGTGGTGGCCATGGGGGTTTTGGTGTTTGGTGCTCTAACTGAATGCAGATATGATGTCCATCAGGACGTTTCTGAGTTGAGCGTAGGTGCTGCTCAGGGCAGTCTTGCAGTGTCTGTTTTGTGGTCAGCTTGCAGTGACCCCTCTGTGCCAACCGTGAGTCTTCCTGGAGGGCTGAGCTCATGTCTCTCTCTCGGTAGGTGGTGATGGCACCTCACGAGCCGGCAGTGGTGTTCGTTGACAACTACATCAAACTCCTTACAGACTGCAACACAGAAACCTTCCAGAAGATACTGGACATGAAGGTTAGCTCAGTGTCCTGGATCAGCCCTCCTTATCCCCTCAGACTCCCTGCTTCTCAGCTGAAGGTGTGAGGGGAATGGGATGGGGTCTCCTGGGCACATTCTAAGAAGCCTTTTGAGGAGAAGAGGCCTGGGCATATCAGCTCCACTGCACAATTTAGACTCTTCCTTTCTTCTTTCTCAACTCTTCCTTCCTCTCCTGTGCTTGGAACCTTTTCTTCATCTTCCTTTTCTCCCCGGCTATTTCCCAGGGCTGGTAACGCCTCTGAAGAGAGCATTATCCCCAGCCCCTCGGATTTCTGCTGTTTGCTGAGCCTCAGCTAACGACTTGTCCACAGTTGAACTTTTCCCTCTCCCTCAGGGGCCCAGACTTCATGGTTGTCTGTCTCTTTCCACCTCAGGGCCTGAAGAGAAGCGAGCAGAGCAGCATGCTGGAGCTCTTCCGCCAGCGGCTCCCCAGCCCGCCGGCGGGGGCAGAGGGCTCCAGCTCGCTGTCCCTCATGGCTCCCACGCCGGAACAGGAGTCATCCCGCATCCGCAAGCTGGAGAAACTGATTAAGAAGCGACTGTAGGAGCCGTCCAGGGGGCACTTTCCTTTCTGGGGCCTATGATCATCAGCACCTAATCCCCCAGGTGCCCCTGGCCTCTCCATCCTTCCCTGGACTCTCAGATTGTCAGGCCAGGAATTTGGGGGTCGTTGAGGTGGTTCATGTGTTTCTTTAAGGCCCTGTTGTAAAGTCCCGTACTAATCAGAGAAGCAGAGTCAGAGCTGGGCTATATGAGCAGTTTAGATCCAATCCTGACACTGAGGCAGCAGTGGCCGAGGCCTATGGTTCAGTTGTCGCTCTCAGGCGGCTCTTCTTTGGTCAGGTGTCCCTTACTCCTCTCACCTTGATGAGAGGGGTGACTAGTCTCACCTCTGCGGTCACACCGTCGGGCGAGTGTCCTGTTTCTTGCCATGTGCCTGCGCAGGCAGTCAAGTATGAAAGGCCAGTTCTTACGCCTCCCTCCATCTGCTACTGTTTGTGGTGACCTCTGTAGCCAGCACCCCGAGATTGTCCTGTCCCTCTCTCTCCCTGGGTCAGACCATGGCCATGAGTGCATGAAGTGGCAGACTGTAGAAAGCCAGCCTGTCTTACAAAGGTGTGGCTGCGTGAGCACACTCCCACGTAAACCCTGGCGTTCTGACACTTTGTTTCTGGCGCTTGTCGTGGTAGGCCAGGTTGTCCTTATGTTCTGCTTTCTCAGTCCTCTCCAGGCCCCTACTGTGTACTTAAGGGGCGAGACCCCCCTTCATCCTCCCCCCAGGGGGCCGTGTGTGCAAAGCCCTGGAAAGCAGGCATCCCATCTGCCATGAGGCTTTGGGGAGACCCTCATCTGACCCTGAGGGAGTGCTGGGTGATGCGGCCTGATTCCTTTCATCGTTGCCTTCTTTCCTCTCTGCCGGTCTGAGAAGGCAGGAAGGTGTGCTGGGAAGAATGTCATCGATTTCTCCTCAGATTTCTCAGATGAAGCAATGGAAAAGCCTGGGAGGCCTGTACCCACTAGTCCTCATCTCCCTCACTCATTCTCTTGCACCCACCACACTCCCTAGATCATCTGAAACAAGGTGAAGTGCAGCCCTCGAATGACGTAGCACTTGGTTACTAATGGAAAATAATCCCAGTCCAGGAAGACTCTGGAAGCAGAGCCTGGATTTGAAACACTTGGCTCAGAACCAGCGTGGTCCTGAATGGTCTAAGCCCCGGCCTGTCCAGACCCCACAGGGCTTTCCTGGAGAGACTCGCCTCCTGGAACAGTCTGCTTCTGCCCCTCTTGCCTTGGGACTGGGGTGCTGCGGCCCTCACTTGAAGCACAGCCTGTGTCGGCTCTGACCACAGGTGGCCCCTACAGGTGTCAGCGTGGGTTTAGAAATTGTAATTGTTGGCCAGCTGCAGGGGAGAGCTGAGGAGGAAGGGGCAGCCTGTATCAGAGAATGTGCATAACAGGCCTCAGGGTAAAGCCAGACTATCAAATAATGCTCAAAAAGGGGTTTTCCTGGAAATCCTTAAAGCTGGTGACAGCCACACAGTAGGAGGTGTTAATGTTTGAAAAAATGAACAGTAAGTAGAGTGGACTGGTCCTTCCCTTCCCATTCCTCCAGTGTCCCCTCTCTCGGTTCCTAACTCTTCTCAGCCTCAGCAGTCCCAGCTCTGCTCCAGGCCTCAGTTCTCCATCAACTTCCAGCCCTTCCTCATTTGTGGGTGTGAAGCTCAGCGTTTGAGCCTTTCAGACCCCAAACCTGAATAGCAAATAAGAGGTGACAGGAGGCATGATCTGTCGGGAAGGGAGCGCCCAGGAGGGACAGTGGAGAGGACCGCCTCCAGGTTGCTCTGGGGCCGTGGACAGGCAGCACTGATGGACCTTAACACTCTGTCCTCACTGCTGAAAGGGCACAAGGCCTGTCTCCAGTGAGCACAGCTATGCCTCCATCTGTCACCAGCTGGCGAGGGCCTACGAAAGCTGGCGACTGCCACGCCTGATTCCTGTCCCCCTCTGTGTTTACAGAGCCACACTTGGCCTTTTGGTTCTCACCCGCCATGCCGTTTCTGGACATCTCTGTAATGGCAGTGAGATGTCAGGCCTCCTGGTTTTCCCAGTTGGTGGTCACAGCCAGAGGAGTTGCCTTCCTGATTTATTACATTGTCAGGAATCTCCCAGGAGCCAGCAGATGTCAGTAGGAGTTATGTTCAATGTCTCACTGACGGGGACTCAATACCGCGTGTGTCCTGTGGAGGCAAAGCATGTCTCTCGACAGGGGGTCACAGCAGCATCACCAGGTCCCTTTTAAAAAATGCAGATGTCTGGAGGTTCTTAGTGAATAAGCTGAGTGGGGCCGGCATAGATGTTTTCAGAGTTCCACAAGGAACAATGATGTTCATTCCTAGGTAAGAATAATAGAGATAACTTTGCTTTTTTGAGGGACGGCTGATTTACATTTTCATAAATGTATATTTTCTGTTTGTCTAAGCAAAGTATAAGGAGCTCTCATGGCCTAATGGGTAAATAGATGTACTGCCAACCCAAAGGGACTCAGTTCAAATCCACCATCTGCTCCGAGGGAGAAAGATGGACACTCTGCTCCCATGTCATATACAGCCTCTGAAAACCTGCTGGAGGGTCAGCTCGGACTCAACACACACAGAAACAACAAGTAAAGTATAATAAGCTGGTACCAGCATGTCAGGATTCTTTGCTGACAATTTCATTTTGTACTTATATTGATGGTAAAGGCCAGGCTGGGAATCAGGCTCCCCTTTACTCAATCAGATTTTTCCTGTTTTGATCACCAACCCCCCAAAAGAATCATTATTTATTACTGTCACTTTGTATGTTTTTGTTTGATAACATACATAAAGGAATGCCCATTGCTGAAAGTAGCAGCTAACCATTCTGTCATTCAGGAAAACTGATCCCTTCCCCACCCCTACCCCATTTCCTCTGGTCCCTTAAAAATAACCAGAGTTAATATATGCCATTAAAATAAGTATCAGTAATTTATAATTAATAAAGAATTCCAATTGCTGTGCCTGTGGTGGATGGACAGACTTCGTGATTGCTGACTTAGGAAGGTCGGAGCCTTCAGTTTGGGTCATAATAAAACAAGCCACAGTGAGCCAGAGAGTTTCACCTTCAGAGTCAATACTGGGATCAAAGGTTACCACTCCCCTCTCCCTCTCCCATAAGGTGAACAAGTCAACAAAAAGATGCCCACCACCCAGGAAGCTCCCCTGCTTTCTCACATGTGGAGTGGACTGGGGCAGAGCAGGCCACAGCCAGAGTCGTGGAGGAGGTCAGAGGGTGCCACCTGCTGTGGGGGTGTTGCACCAGACCCCCCCAGAATTGCTGTTAGAGGGAAACCTGGTTCTCAGTGCACATAATTCAGGAGAGATGCTGGAAGTTCACAGCTGGGAATGTAATTCCTCACCCTAGGAAGAGAAGAGACCTCTCCCAAATCGCTAGCTTACATGAAATTAAAGGCAAAGTGTTTCTGAACTTCTTGACTACTACAAGTCATGTTCCTGAAAATAAAACGGTGAGATGCATTGGGCCATTTAAGTGATAGCTACATGAAGAGCCGGCATGTGGGATACTTTTTCATTTTATATGTTCAATTAGAATTTCCAGTCTCATTCTGGTGTCTGTCAAAATAGACGGCCTTGGGGGACCTCCAACCTGTACACCTTTGCAAGATGTACATTTCCTTAAAATAAAGCAATTGCCTTTTTTGTGTAAATATCTTTCATTCTCCCCATCTGGAAGTGATTTTGTGGCACATAGTGGAGCACAAAATAACTACAGTTAATTAAAGCGTTACTGGATGTCATTTGCTAGAATGTATTTCCATACTGTTGACAGAAAGCAGAATGGACCATTGGAATCTGAGCACCCTGAGATCCTTCTGGGCATCTGCCTTCTCCTGGGAAGGTGGGTCTCCCCCCAGGCATCCTGAGGAAGCGGACACAGGTCAGGGAGGAGGGCGCACAAGCAGAAACCCTGGCCTCCCACCCCTCCACCCCTGTCCGCCTGGGGGAAAGCCATCTCAGCTAATGTGCACAGGGTGTCTGCTTCTGATTTGCGGTGGGATTTGCATTCTGAATTTCTGTTTATTGACCTCCTCTCCCCTCCCCTTCCCTCCCTCCCACTACACTCACAGCCTACTTGTCCTTGTGTCTGCCAGTTGATTACTCTCCTATATACAGTAAATTCATCCCGTCCCCTTAATAACCGGGTGGGCATCTTGCAGCAGGAACTCTGGGGACGCCAACGCCTCTGTCAGCATTGGAAAATCGGTTAGAGCCCTTCCCTGTTCACCTTTGAGATCATTCCCTAGTTTCCATTCCTCTGTGTTCACCAGCTCGCTGACCTTCACAGGGCAGCCAGAGCTCAAACTGAGAAGAAAAACATTTCCACATAACCCACCTAGAAGGGTAGCTGGAGACCTGCCGACTTCTTTCAGGTGTGGGGAATGGGAAGTAGCAGGAGACAGAGAATTTTCCACGTTAAATGAAAGCAGCCTGCAGAAGCACTGGCCTCCACCTCTGGCTGGTTCTGGCACTTGGATGATGGCGTGTTATTTACCCTGAGTCTTAGTTTCACTGTCTGTGAAAGGGGATTGTAGTTACACATGACCACGCAAGCATATGTGGTCTATAAGTCACCACGCAGAGTGGTGTGTTCAGGTGCCCGCGGGGACCTGCCACTGATCTGACTGGTGGTGTGTGACAGCCAGGTGGCTAGCTTTGTGCTGGATTTGAGTAATAAAACTGCCAAGCGGCGGGATATCCTGCTGCTGATGTGCAGCCTGCATCCGCAGCATCTGCACGTGTCTGGTCTTTGCCTTTTTAGGTCATGACGATCTCCAGATGACTCCAGCCTTCTCAAGGCTCCGTTTCTGTCCTCCACTTGCCCTGGCAGCTGCCGTTTCCTTGTTTCCATAGCGTTTAGGGACAAGTCTGCAGACACTGAACTGAGAGGATCTCCCCCCCCCCACCCCATTCCATAGTGTTGGCTGGGGTACTTGTTGTGGAAAAAGT